ACAGGTTGCTAGTGTTCTGTGTACTGCCTTAGACAAAGCAGCCCTTTGATGAAGAAAAACTTTTAAAAAAGAAAACTTGCTCCCTGGTTTAATGCGGAGCTGCACTCTTAAGCTAAAATGCTAGGAAACTGGACAGAAAATCGAGCTCTAGATGCCTATGGGAATCCTACCTAGTCAGGAAAAATATTTTACTGCTGTATAAGAGGACCCTTCGTAAAGCAAGAGCAGTATATTTCTCCTCATTAATAGAGGAGAATAAGAATAATCCTAGATTTCTCAATTTAGTTGCAAAACTCACCCGGAGCCATAGCTCTGTTGAACATTCCATCCCCCCTGATCTTAGCAGGAGAGAATCAATTAAAAAAATTAAAAAAGGGGCTCTATTAAATATAAGATAATTAGCACCCCTTTATATTGATTGGTTTATCTGTGGTCATAACACTCATTATCAAAGGGCAATCCAAAAATACTGATTAATAATATTCTATATAAATGTGTAATATTTATAAAACATAATCTAGTATATTAATGTAAAACTTGTATTTATTAATATTTATTTGCAAAATATATAGCTTTGCATATATCTCATCCAGTTTGAGTTAATTTGTAATAGTTTCTAACCTGAATAGATATGTTTAATCTACCTGAAAGGTTATTCTAAAATTAGTTTTGGTCTTTTATGGGATTGTGACATCTAAGAGATTATAGTAATATCTCCAACTCATCCTTCATGTGATTAAAATTAAATCTAAGGAGTCTCCTATTCGCTATGGCAGCAGCTGTCTGAACTGTGGTCCAATCAACATGGCTGTCCTCTAGGTACATCGGCCTCGCTGCTGACAGTGCTCAATGAGGAGTTTACATATAATATGGCTTAATTGAAATTCAGGGACTGCGTCCACTGAAGGCCAGATTTGTAGGTCGATTACATCATAGCGCTGCACCGAGGTTTGTTCGGATTCCAAGACTCCTTGTTATAAGGCCTACAAATGAGTCCTATCTAGCCTTGGAGCCTGGCTGCTCCATGATCAGAGGAAAAGGGTACTTGGTGCCGCTGAATATTAGAAATGCAGTTTAATATAATACATGTACAGTGGGGCCAAAAA